AAAATATATAATAAATTGCTCTTATCACACAAAATGACACATTGGTCCAAGAATCTCTCATTCTTTGTTGATAGTTTCTGTTCTCTCTTCTATTACTATTTTTTATATAGTCAGACACTCTTCTAAAACTACGCGATGGACGTGCATTCTAACGTTTGCATCAACGTAGGTGATTTGGGCTTGAACATTTCTTTTTCCTTGGTGGTCCTCTTCATGGGCTTGCATTGGGCAGTGAAGAAGTATGGACAAGAAGCCCATGTCCCTCCATCCGAATTTGTTGCTGATTTTTCCAGAAGATTCATCTTATCACTTTTCTCCTCAGTTGGAGAGAAATCAAATCCAACTTCCTCCTCTTTTGAGGAAAGATCACTTCCACCTTTCTCCTCTCCATCTTCCTCCTTTAATCGGGAGAGAACAATTTCACCATGTTTTCTTTCTATGAAAGGTGATTCTTACTCGGTCTCAACTCCGACAATATCTTCCAACATACTCGCCGTTTTGTCTTTTTCTGTAATGGTCTTCAGGAGGCCAGAAGAAGCAACCGGATTCGTGTCAATGAAACTCGGAGGTGAGGATTGGTTTCAAAGTCACATAAAAAATGACTAAATTTCAACATTCAATCAACTTTTTTTTTTCTAGGTCAAAACACTGCGTTTATTATTCAATCAACTTATTGTTCTTCTACAAGCATCCAAAGCAGATTTTGCACGCAAATCTGATTGTTCATTTGCTGATCGTGGAATATGAGAAAAAGAAATTGAAGAAAACAGAGCTATAAGAGCTCGAATATCGTGAAGGTCGCCATAGAGCTCTGAGCTTGTAGCACCGGAGTTAATCAAATTGATGAGGGTGAGTGAATAGGAGAAGACTTGGAGGCGGTCCAATCCTTCACCTTTAGCAACTTGGGGTGTTCGCAACATAGCAAGACTCTCATCCAGCAGTGGTGATGCTGCATGCGGACCTCTGATCATAGAAAGAGGATTTCACCAGAAGCTCTTATGTTTGTCCATCCCAAACCTGCAATTTTGGATTCTTCACTCCAGGCTTCATCAAGATGACACAGAAATTAAAACCAACAAAAAAAAAAAAAGATGACACAGAAATTACGGCGTGACGATTAGAGTGGGTGAAGAGATTTCACCTCTTACCGGTGGATTTAATATTGCTTATTAAGCAGATTGCCATTCCTTGGCAGCAAGTAAGCAACTGAGAAAGAATTCTGAGGCGGAGCAGAAGAGTAAATTGTTTCTAACTTTCCAATTTCCCAGCAAATCCATGGGTATAGTGGACCCATTACCTAGCTATAAGGGCTTCCTAGGTACAATAAGGGATTTCCAAGGACTCTGAGGTTTGCTTGAGTG